GTGGTTGTGGTGGTGGTGGTGGTCGCCCCGCTGATGCTGGTGCTGTTGCCGGCGGTGGGTGGGGTGGAGGATGGTGGCGGTGGTGGTAGCGTGCGCAGCAGCAGCGGGAGGAGGTCGTGGTGCTGGTCAAGAGGTAGAAGATTAGTAGGAGTAGCCGCGCAAACATGACAATGATATAAATCATGAGAAGAAGAAAGCTCTTCATGTGATGACAGAAGCAGTGACGTCAAGCCTGATGCCGTCTCGACTGCTGCTGACAGTACTCATTCCCACCAGCACCGTCAATGCAGTGGCGACAACGGCAGTGTGGGATCATGGTGGTGATTGGATTTCTTGCGGGGTTGGGTGGAAACACAAGTGCAGTCTTGGCTACGGCTCAAATACGGCCCAGAATCGCCAATCAGGAAGATGTGCATTTCTCCTGTGCNNAGTGCTGGCCCTTGTAGCCCATAGCGGTCTTGGGCGGCACGCAACCTACGCCTTCATCGTCGCCGTGGCAGCCAGGCCTCTTGCCAGCATACCGCGGGTTGCCAGCAAAGCAGTCAAGGCACGGAGGGTTGCTGCAGCCTGTACAAAATCGGCCAACTGCAACAAAATGGAGGGGGGAAGGGCCTGGGGCCTGACTTATGCTGCTTTCAAACAACTCCAAACGTCTGCTTCAAGCTACCAAACCCTTTTCGTGATTCCCGTGCCTGAGCACGGAGGCAGTCCGCACCACTTGGCACCCGGCGGCGCGCAGTGATACAAACGCTGGTAGTCTGCTTCTGTCGCCTGTTCGTGGCTTACGCCGGCGATGCCTTGGACTGGAATTCTTGAACACACGAACTCAAAATGTCAACGCTCCGCAAACCTCTGCTGGAAAAGTCATTGTGCTGGCAAAGTCATTGAAGCGCAGCCAACATTATGGGAGGAGCCATGATTTAAACCAGCACGTGAACACCACACGTACGCTGCAGAACTTCCTCCCCTGTGAAGCCTGATTACTAAGTGTCTGCAGGTAGAAGCTGCACTTGCGCTGTCCTACTGCCAGCCTAATTGCAATGTTCACAGAAAGTTTTGGATTCAAGAGACGCGTGCCAGATGATTCGTGAATCCAAGCGGCACGCCAAGCTTTAAGGAAACAGGACTTGGTCCGCTCCAGACTCTGTCGAAAGCTTCAACATTTTCACAGGCAGCTAACCGTGTGAGCAGCAGTCACCAGTTCTTGTCTGGCACTTTAGCACGTCGCTCATGCAGACAATATGGGGGACCTCGTAGAATATATAGTCAGAGAAAAGGAACTCCGCATTTGCAAAACCCGCCATACACCCCGATCCGGAAATCCTGTCAGCCTGAGCTATGCACAACCCTGGACTGCTAAGTCCTCTGAGTCCATATGTACCCGCACGTCGTTCTATTCTACCACTGTTGGCACGTAAAGACATAAAGACCAGTCATGTTGGGACATGCCCTCACAATCCGTAAGCCCCAAACCCTAATGAAATCCAGCCAACAAACTCTCCAAGTTCTTGAACCATGCCGCAGCAGCGGGATCATTTTTCCCTCCACCTGCCAAAGAAAACGGGAACACTCCTTTGGTTCAATTTGTTTCAGGTACTCGTTACCCCTCACCCCAAAAAAAAATCCGCTTCGAATCGTCCCCAAATGTTTTCTGGAGGATGGGGGACAAGCAGCCACTCCAAGCATGATTCTGAGGACCTTGAGGATGCAGCTCCTGTTAGTTGACTCGTTTTGTTCGCTGCTAAGCCAAATTCAGCACGGTAGCAAGTGGATTGCTACATAAATAACGCAAAACCCACAAGTGAGGAAACTACCCACCTGCTGCCCACGAGACGGTATCTCGACACTCCTTGCACAACAAGGCTCTGGTCTCCATGAATTCATTATGTAGAGGGTACCCTTTGTACTGTACAGGGGTCGAGCACTGTGTGGCTGTACTCACCGAAGACCTAACTAAGCCGTAGCCCCTTGGGGTCATGTAGAGCTGGGTTCTCAGGACCTTTGGTGGGTATCGTTGACGATGTTCTTATCATTTTCGGACTTCGTGGAAGGACCCATTCTTAGCTTGTGCTTGGTCGCCTTCCACTAGACGGGACACGAAAAACTTATTAAACCCAACAGGCCCCAGTCCGATCCTGTATCAAGGGCAGAGAGCAGGCTTCGTAGAACCCATCATTCTTGGTCCTCGTTCTGCGGCAAGTCCAGACCACCGCATTCAACAGCAGCTGGGGATCGGCTGCCTCGAAACCTGCAAAGGATAAAAGCTTTGGAGCTTCGGATTTTTCGCTTGTCAGGGACGCTCAGCCAAGGAACCTATTGCAGCAGCAGCTGCTGCTGGTGCTGGCGCTGGCTGAAGGCTGTGTCTTGCTGGCTGCTGTTCTTGCTGCTGCTGCTCCTCCTCTCCTCCTCCTCCCGCTCCTGCTCCACCTAGTGTTCCTCCTTCTGCCGCTGCTACTACAGCTACGGCTAGTGCCAAAAATATACCGGGAACGTTTTGCTCATGAAGCTCTACCCCAACAGCTATGACGATGACTAAGATCTCGTGACTGCCAAGGCAAACCCCACACAAGCAGACCCAAACCCCATACGCCATTGATTGAGTGCAACACCATGAGCCCCCATCAGCCAAACTTGCTGTGGTTCCACGAAAATTCCCGACTGAACGGGACTTCTTGTAATGGGAAGGTATACTCTGTCCCCTGGAAAGATATGCTGTGACCCCTCATACCCCCTGTACTCAATATGCGTAGGGAACTGGAACTAATGTTCCCTCCCTAATCACCTGGTTCCGTTTTTTGGGATCTCCGCAGCTGCCAGGCCCGCTAGAGCCGTGAGAGCCCCGACTTTGCCAAGGCCTCAGTTCCAGGTTGCGGATTCAGGCACTCGACAGGTTTCAGCACGAAAAGTTTTTGGCGCGCACCTAATTTCCGCCCGGCCTGTAAGGGAGATGCATGATAGTAAAAAGGAAATTTGGGGCCTTCGAAATATTACACAGGCTAAAATGCATCACAAAACCATGTTGCAACCTCTGGGATGCATCTGGATCGGTCAGCGCTTCCCCTTTAGAAACGATGAACAACATCTTAATATTTGACCACCGTACATCAGCCATGTGTCAAAGCCACATTTGGTCCGTTGCTGGTCTGTACAAGCACCACCTAAGAAGATCCTTTCTAAGCAGAAGGGCTGCGGAGGGTCACAGGTTTGCTTGAGCAGCGCAAGCCATCACTTCACATTCCTAAAGTTGCGAGCGCACCCATGATGCCCATTCCGTATTTGGGTCCTTTGCTCCCGGAGGGTTTTCAGGGTTTGTAGTCGGTCAGGGGTTCAGGACTTAGCCATTAAAGTGTATAAAGTTCGGATAGTGGAGAGCTTGCAGGGACAACCGGAATCAAGTTTCCCCTCTATTACGTGATTGCATGAACACTTTCCTTGAAAATTGGCCCAGCTGAATGTTTCCTGGGGCTCGGCAATGGACGCCCCTCTGCAGCTCATGGGCTGTAAAGGGCTAGGACATTCAAATTATAAATCTTCCTGTAATAAAATAGGTCTAAACTAATCACAAATATGTTCAGTCGTTTGTTAATTTCCGAAATTATTTCATCAACATTTTCATAATCGAATTGGGGAGGTTATGTTTTCAGTTTGATCGTTCACGGATTGCAGCTGAAATATATCACATGAACCCATTATCTTCGATGAAATCAAAATCCAAAAAAAAGTCTCGTGAATATTTGCATATATAGCTCCATATAGATTTCTATGTAAGTTTTTCCCGCATGGGCTAAAAGCTATGTCAGAGAGGAGGTTGCTTATTCAGCAGCCGCACGTCGAGCAAGTGCTCGGGCCAGCTTCTCCTTTGTGGGGATCATGTGCCAACATGCGCAGCACTGAAGACCCCATATCTATTATACGATGGTGCAAGGATTTTTCGGGGGTGGGGTTGGGGTTACCAAAATCCTCCTAGCAGCTTGTCCTCGAGTTTCGCAATCTGCTCCCGGATCACGTCAGGACTCGGTTTCATGTTGTGTGCAAAAGGGCACCCCAACTGCAGATGCACTTCCGCATTCAATTGAGCTATAGTCTAAACTCCTAGTATCCCCTTAACTACCCCTGTAGTAGTCCCCTATAGAATCCCAATATAAGCCCCCCTTTAAGGAGTTTAGAATATAGCTCAATTGATCATGCCGAGCACTGTGCTCCTCGTCGCTTTCCTCAGGCGGAGGTGCCTCCTGGCTCATGAGCGTACGCGATCAAAAACAAAAACGACAAGTCAGTAAGCTCACATGGTAGTTTCCCAAAACAAGGGGACCCCAATATAGACCCCAAAGTAGTATAATCCTTATTATTGGGACCCCTATAGAAAGATACCCCCTAATTTTGGGAAACCCCCAAATAAGCTGAAGCATCTCAAGCTCTGATAATGTCCTCGTGCTCCGGCTCTTGGTAGACTTCCTCCTCGACTTCAGGATGGCTCTGCTCCTTTTGTCAGGTGTCCACCCTAAGGTCAAGAGGTGAGCTAGGGGGATTTATGCAAGGATGATATATAGGCGTAATATGGGGATTATGCGGGGTATATGTGGGGGCCATATGAGGAAGCGCGGACCTTCTCATACCTGGCAGTCCTCCTGGTTTTCGTGCTCGCCGTCTACCTCCTGCTCAGGCTCTTGTTCCTCTGCCTGCAGCTCCTCTTCCTGAAAGCAACAGTGGCAGCTTCCTTGAGCCCTCTGATTGGGTTGCGGTCCTCCACCTGTTCCGCCGCTTCCTCTTGCGTCTCCAGACTCTGCAACCTGGAGGCTACACAGATCCCCTTTGCCTTTCTCTCGATTTAACAATAGGTCTGAATCTCTGGCCTGGACATCATCATGGCATGGGCCACATAGACACTGACCAATGTGCCTGAAGCCATCTTATGGATTTGTAATGTAGAGAAGGCAAAATCCGAGTTTGCTGAGTCCACCACCCACAAGGGTCATCATCCTGCAAGCTGGCTTACGTGAGCAGTCACAAGCCATGTCCCAGGTGCAGCATTGCAGACTGGACGAGCGGCCCTCCTGCTATCCCCAAACCATGCGCTCGACTTCTCAATCTCAATCTGAGCGCCGGAGGCCTTCAGTCGGCAGTACGCATGCCAGAAATGTTTGGGCTTGGTGCGCATGCCTGCTCGACTTGCCGTATCACCTCACCTCCCGTGCCGACGAGTGCTCCGACCTCGAACTTCCACTTTCAGTTGCTCGAAGGTTCGCTTGTGCAAACCCATCTTGCAGGACACGTCACATCCCATGCACTCCACTGCCATCCATGGAGCTCAGCCTCTGGCACGCGAGGCCGGAACCTCACAGGAAAGGGAGTACCTTACAGGTGAATTCGGCAGCATCCCCAAAAGGCGCATCTTCGTGAATCTAAGGCAAAGTACGGCATCTTGACCGTTCCAGGAGGGAAGCTCTCCAGCTCATTGGCCTCGATAACGCATGGCAAGCAGGCATTTTCACGGCCATGATTCCCTAACAAGCATGCAGCATGCAGGCAAGTGGCCAGGGAGTCCACTTCCTGGCCACACAGGCCGACCAGAGCGATCAACGTCTACCATTCGTCTAGGCCCATCACTGATCCACTCTGTACAGTGGCTTGCTACCAAATTCACGCAGGCCTGCTGAGCGTCGATGTGTCCGTTCTGCGACGTCTCCACTGTGTGTCCTTTGTGCTGACGATCTCAACGATCCAATAAGGGCCAAGGGCGGGCCTTTGGGAAAGACAGCAGGTGGAGGTGGCACAATGTTGAACACCGAGTTCTGTGCTGCCTACAGGCAAGCTTTGTCTGTCGACACTTTTCATTACTTAGTCACTCTTTTGCTCACAAACTCGGCCCCACCTTGGGCATTGCCTTCAAAGCGGAGACTCGGGCGCCCTTGCCTGCCTGCCGAAAGCAACAAAGGCAACCACCAACCAAGCGAGGAACAAGCTGAGATTCTGACTGGTGCGGGAAGCCCCGCAGAACTTCCAGGCCCTGTACAAGGCGTTTTGCGTCTCAACAAGTCGGAGAACGATGCGTCGATCTTGAGGGGCGCACGTCGCTGGCCCGATGGCTTCTCGAGGTCCTGGCGCGCGAGGCTGGATGCAGCAAAGCCCTGCAATGTCTTGCAATTGCAGGGCAATCCTTCGGCTCAGGAGGAGGCTCCCAGCCACGTGCCTGTGCCTTTGGAAGAGTTCTCAAAAAAGTCAAGCTCAACCCATGCGCAGCCGCCTCGCCAAAGTTGAGAATCCGAGAAAAGCCCTGGTAAAACTCCTCCTGGCAAACGGATATTGCTCTTCCAACTTCTTTGAACACTTCGGATGCACCTCGTACTCACTCTCGCACTGCACATATCTGAGAGGTGCGGTTGCAGAAATGATCATCTAGTATTGGAAGCTGTGAAGCTTGCGCTTGCTGTTGCCACAGCGCGTTGCAGTTGCAGGTTATGGCCGCGGCTCGTTGATGTGGCGAAGTGCTACTAAGATCGTTTGGGGCCTGAGCAATTCAGGGCAATCTTCCAGATTTGAAAGAATCCAGCAAGTCAAAAGCCACCGCTAGATTCTGAGCACTGCGCGTGCCAATGACTTTGCCTTTCGGCTTGCCAAACGTTGCGCGCAGAGCGGGTGAGAAACTAACCACCAGGTAAGCATTTTGCCTGCACGATGTCCCAGCACACTTTCGTTTTCAACGAACACCTGCCGAACTTCGACAGGAACTCGCAACAAAGGCAAAGGCGAACGTCAAGCGCGGCTAGCCATGCAGGGTATGCACACTGCCGCGTTTGTTTACCGCCGCCAGGCCTTCGCACCCGAGTCTTGGCGGATGAACCTGATGTTGTTTCCTTGTGTACCAACCTCGCTAGCAAGGCACATGTCGCTTGGCTCATCCCCAGCTACCCCTGCATACCGTGTCAAGCGTTCCCATGGCAAGACATTGCGCCGCCCACTGACGTGAATTTCTGTTCTACAGCCAGCCGTAACCCAAATCAAAACTACACCCTCCACACGGCAACTGCCATTTCCCTACAAGTCGCAAAGCGCGCACAGGGACAAGCCCGGCACGATTTGACTTTGCATTCGTCTTGTAAGGAGAAACCTCTGCTGAGCAGAGCTTTGCCCAAGGCTGCAAGAAACTCCGCTACCATTCACTGTTTAGCATGCTGCGGCTAGGGCCGGAGGATGTACCTGCAAACCAAGCTGCGTGAAGTGTAGTTCTGCAGTACCAACGACACCATGCCATGCAGCATGCAATGTTCTCATGGCTCTGCAGGCATGTCAATTTGATCATGTTGTCTCACTCTAAACCCTGGGAGCACTCTCCCGGCTCTTTGCCACACAACTCTGTCTGGCCGACAGGCCTCGTTCGTGCAAATTTCGCAAGTGTGAAACACCCTCATCTCATCGGCTCTTCAATTTGGTGGTGGCCATCACTTTGAAGCTGAACTCTTCAGATTGCAATGCCCAGTAAGACACTTGGAATGCCGGCTGGGTCTTCCTTTCCTCGTCCCCGTGATACACCAGCTGCGACATAACGCAGTTGAACCTGTTCAGCGCGATGCTCGCATGACTCGCATGAAGGGCATGAATGGCCCAAGCGTAAGTGCCAGGCACGCGAATTATGGCTCCTGGATCATCTGCGTAGATCCCCAGGACCTTGGGAATCCGGGAAACACAGCATTGCTGGTCCTTTGCCGGTTACCTACATCTCATTACATCTCGCTCCCCATCTTTGCCACTCCAGTGCTGTGAGTGCGCTGCTCTGTACCGCGTGTCTGGAAAGTAGTCGTTTCTGTTGCTAAAGACGAGTCTGGCACCAGTCTCCTGCATCTCACCGCCAGCTGGATGCTTGTCCAACAAACGTGCTGCCGTATACGCTGCCCTGGTCACCAACCGGAAGCTGGGGCCTTTTGGATCTCGTCTTTGGTTGAACCGTGTGAACCTGCGGCACTACAAATCTTGGAGATTCCGTCTTGCTACTGCAGCTCTGGCCTAACAGGCCAGCCGCCAAGCCATCAGTGACGAGGACCTCTTGACAATGCTGGAACTTTGGCAGCCTGCCTGTCAAAGCGCACAACAAACCAGCCTTGAAAGCATGCCTCGTCCGGGGGATGTTCCCCAATGGCTCTGACCGGCCCGCATTCAAACCTTGTTTGATCTTGCTTGTCTTGCGGTTCATCTCTACAAAAACACCCCCACCGTCCTGCGCGGCTTGCTACGACTTCTAAGAAATCCTACCCCGGGGGAGCTCTACGAGGCGCCCAGCCTTGGAGGTATCGTGCAATGTACTTGAATCGACGAAAAGATTCAAAATGCCTGAGAGCGCAGTGCGCGTCAAACCAGCCATAGAAGCTGTTTTGATTTCGAAGTGTGATGTGTCCTCCACTGATGCCCGGACACCAAGCTCAACACAATCGCATGGAACAATCCCAGCTCATCAGGAGCTTCCTGTAAACGAGTCTCACCCAAAGTTGATTTCTCCGGCTTCCTAGAATACATTACAGTCGTCGTCTCCCCGGAAGAAGAAGACCCTTAAACGTAAAAGATGACTGCGTTGGCAACAGGACTTCCCAACTGCCATTAGTCATGCAAGCCTACAAAATTTTGCTGCTGGAAACTCCTCAGCGTAACGCTGAGAGCACGCCAGGTAGAGGCCCTGTTTGAGTGTAAATCGAGCGTGAATCGAAAATCGAACGAGTTTAAGACAATCATGTCTTCGACAATTTTCGCAACTCAAGCTGGAAAAGCGTCTTCCTGAAAACCCAACTCCATCACAAAGAGAAATTCAGCACTCGTTGACCTCAAGGAATGCCCTGCCCTCATGGGCTTTTCACTGTTTCCACGGATAGCTGTGTGGATTGTGGCCCAAAACTTACTTAGCCGTCCTACCGGCTATGTGTCTCTTACAAGAAGAATATCCAAACTTCGACAAAACAAATTGAAACACACCGCGTCCTTGAAATTGCATCAAGCTCATCAAGCGGCGATTTTTTGAAAAACCAGACCCTGATTATCCCGAGCAATCAATTCGATGTTAGCAAGGGAGGCGTATCTGACCGCGCTGTCGTTGCAGCTGTCGTAGCGCGGTCTAGGTGCTGTGCTGTAGGCGTCGTGTAGGTCCTGTGGTGTTGGCGCGGCATAAGCGCCACAGCGATCGCTCTCGTCAGGGTCGCATGTGTAGTTTTTTCTCTGTTAGCAGGCATCTCAGCACAGGCGCTTCGGCCTGAGGCAGCGCTTTGCTACAAACGCCAAAGTGAAGCACTTGAATGCACGTCTCATCTGTAGCCAAGCTCGTGGAATACCACACGATGCCGCCAGCAGCCGGAGATCAGGATGCAAAACAAGTTCTGTTGCCACTGGCAAGTGCCAACGAGCAAGCAGAGTTGTGGAAGTACGAAATTTTGAATCTTGACAACCTGGGAGCGAAGTTTTTTTCTCCAGAAGCAAAAGCAACAACCAAAACATACCAAAACTCTGCCAAAACAACACCAATGTGGTCGACCTGACAGCATCACAGCATTCAAGCCGTACCTGCACCTGTGAACATGTGGAACAAAAACACGAACACGGAGCCTGGCGCCAATCAGTCTTGTTTGGGAGGCACTTTGCCCTTCATGTCGTATGCCAGAGTAGCACGAGCTTTTCAGGGGGCTTGGAAGCTAGAAGGCTGCAAGCCATCCTGTCCATCCGCTTCGCCAACTGAGGCTAGTTCAGATTTGTCTTCCGCACCTGAGCAGGCAAGGAAGGCTTAGGGCTTGTTTGTGACAACAGGCCTTGGGAAGGCGGGCGAAAATTTTGTTACGTAGAAAGCGATCTACACAAGACTTGTAGTAGGCTAACATAACAGTCTTGGCCGCGGAGCAGTCGTGGCAGCGGTGGGGCATGAGATTCACAACCAACACCAAAGCACAAGAGAAAAGAAAATTCTTAGCGTTCTGTTTGGTTGCAGTGCTCCTGTCCAAGACCTACCACAACAAACACACCAGAGTTGGGTTGCTCTGAGTGTAGCTTTTCAGGGGTTTGGAGGCTAGAAGGCTGCAAGCCATCCTGTCCATCCGTTTCGCCCCCTGGTGAAAGTGTAAAACTGAAAGCCAGAGAAAGTTCTGGGCCGAACTAAGGTTCGGGCCTTGTGGAAAGGCTAGAAAGAACCCAGCTCAGCGGGCTGGGGCTGACCTGAGAAAAGTCAGGCTTTGAAAGTCGACAGTGCAGGCACTGTGGCCCCAGCGAGGGCTGAGTGCGCTAGGCTGGCGTGCCTGTGCACCAGCGGCCAGCGGGCCTACTAGGCAGTGCAAATCTGAAGCGACAGCTGAGGAGGCAACAGAGTTGCTCCTTGGTAGTCCTGCAGACAGCGGGCTGGCAGGGGCCGAAGGCTGCAAGGCTGGTGAAACTGCAAGTAAACTGAGGCTAGTTCAGACTTGTCTTCCGCACCTGAGCAGGCAAGGCGTATAGGGCTTGTTTGTGACAAAAGGGTTTGTGAGGGCGGGTGAAAATTTTGTTACGTAGAAAGCGCTCTACACAAGACTTGTAGTGGGCTAACAGTTTTGGCCTAGGAGCAGTCGTGGCAGCGGTGCGGCGTGAGATTCACAACCCACACCAAAACACAAGGGAAAAGAAAACTCTGCGCGGTCCGAGTTTGCGTTGCCGGACTGGTGGCTGCAAACCTCGGTTCACAAAAACGGAATGTCTATTTCTGATGCGTTGTCCTAACGCTTGCGACGCAGAAGGAGTCAACGCCAGTCTGATGCCCAGTTCTTCGTGTTTTGGCAAGGTCGATGCTCGGTCCAAGCCACGCAGCCCTGTGCCGGAGCGCGGACATTCGCAGAGAATGCGTCAATCCGAACGGCAGCAGTTGGAAGAACAAACACGGTCGCAACGGAGCCGTGCCATTAGAGTCCGCTTTTCCGGAAAATCTGACAGCCGGCGCGAAACCGCTGCTCGAGAGTCTGCCCACTGACCAGCATTCATGCCGCAGGAAACACACAGAGGATCCCTTTGGCATGAGCCAACCAAATGCTGCATGCATTGCAGGCAGCGCGCCTCGGCAGCGTACAAATACCGATACTCCAAGCGCTTCTCTTCCGTCAACGTGGATAGGTTTTCAACACAGCAATGAGGCGCTCCGAACAGGGACTGTCCCAGCCTGCGTTGACAGAGCTATGTTTCGTCAGAGCTAGGGCAGGCAGACGGCCTGCCGCGTTCGCTCCTGGAGCGGGATCTGCTGCAGCCATGCTCGGACGGCGTCCTCCACACGCCGCACAACTGCGACTTGATCGCAACGCAGGGGCCGCCGCTTGCAGCGCCTGACGACGCCTAGAAGTTCGCCCGCCGTGTTCGGCACTGGATCGTGATCAATATGTTCGGGGGTGGGCCACATGCAGTGTGAACTGCTGCTGGGCCACGATGTTGGAGCCATCGGGCGCAGCACCCCACGATGCACCAAAGTTCGCCAACTCAGGAAGAGCTCCAGGCCATGCTTCGCCCATGCGACAGGAGCCGGGGCGTGGTTGGCTGCATCAAAAGTTACTCCGGCTGCTTCGCTGCAATTGTCGTTGGGTGTGCACCTTTGCGCGGACCAGCTTTATACCGACAGCAGCTGCATCCACATCTTCGAGGCCAATCTGCGAGAGGAAATCTTGGAAGTACTGTTGTCCGTCCAAGGCCATGTGTGCCGAAAGACTGCGCAGGTGCCAAGGCTTGGTCCAAAATTGCAGGCAGACACACGGAAGACTGTCTAGATTGCAAGCCACGTCGCTCAGGTTTTCGACGCCAGCTTTCTGAGTTTCCGGCCTGTTTGACTGCCAGGGGTCGACGTGGCCTCCTGCTTCAGTCATACGACATGCACAAGGTGGCGCCACAGGCAACAAGATGTCACCCACCCACGCACCCAACCAATTACCAAGCCCTGTACTTTTTCGACCCCCCTTACGGCCCCTCGAGACGTTGAATTAACCCCTTGAGGTCAGCAATCCTGACTATGGTGCCTAGTCACGACGACAGCGGGAGGAAGGCGTGGCCCCAAGCACACGCGTCCAACACTCCGTTGCTGGAGACCTTAGTACGCAAGGCAGGAAGGACGACGCAAGCGAGGAATGAACGACGAGAGAGCGCAGCGCAAGCTTGAGGCCCACTGAAGCAGGGATAAGGACCAGCAACAACAACACGGGCACGAGAGAACTTTGGGACAAAATGCGCAGGGCAGCGCAAGCTTGACAAACCACAAAAAATGGACAATGGCCAGCAACAACAACAACAATACGGACGCGAGGGAACTTTGGGAGAAGAACAAAGGAGCGCAGCGCAAGCCTGACAGACCACAAGAGCAAGGAAACGGGGGCCAGCAGCAACAACAACAACACGGACACAAGGGAACTTAGACATAGAGTGCACATGCCGCTCGGGTTTCGACGCCAGTTGTCTGAGTTTCCGGCTTTGTCAGCTCCCGGATTTGACGTGGCCTCGCAGCGTAGTCATACGACATGCACAAGATGGCTCCAGAGGCAGACAACATATTATGATTGAAACGTTGGCGCACGAGGCGTATTTCGAAGATTCAGCGACTGACAAGTGATTGAAACAAAACGTGGAAGCGTGTGCACCAACACTGAGCCTGGGAAAGCCGGCCCATCGGAACACATCGACAGAAAGCGTCTCAGCGCTCCGCGGCCAATTTCTTAGCCACGCGCAAGAAGTTCGACACAGATGCAAGGAAAATTCCATGCATTTGCGTTCAGCCCCACGGCCCAACCACTTTTTTGGAGAACGTGGCTTGGATGAAAGCTTTGGTGGAAAAGCCGGCCCATCGGAACAGATGGACAAAAAACGTCTCAGCGCTCCAGTGTAGCCATCACGCAACGCGCACATCGAGGCAGGGCATGCAGACGCAAGTCCGATTGATTGCCACGGGCCCTGCGAGCAACAGCCCTAAGTTGCATTATCATCTTTTTCACACCGTGTGATCTGCGGGACCCCCTCCAATATCCCAGGCCGACTCCGGATAGTCAATCTATAGGAAGAGTGGTCATATGAAATGGCCGTCCGCGGTGAATGGCATAAACCACTGAAAAATCACTTCTCTATGGAATGACTGGCGAGGGTCTGTAACACATGAATAAAATACCAAATCAAGCCCTGCCCACTACAAAATCTACCATTCGATTGCTATAAAATGGCCGGCGTACCTCACCAAAAATGGGTCCACAAACAACCCTGATGTACCTGCGACGTGTTTGCGACCTTGTATCACGTTCTCTTGGAAGATCTTGTAAGATAAAGACTTGCGGGAGAAGACTTCCGGGGGGACGATTTGATGGGCCCATATAGCCACATATAGCTTCTACAAAAATGGCTGGTGCACCAATACGCTCATGAAATCAACCAAAACCAAACACGCCCTTGCCTATAGAAGGGCCTGCAGGACATTTTGGGGGGCTCCAAAAAGAACGCCAAAACCAGCACCAGAAGGGAGTTCTCCACGCATCAAGGTCCTTGACTGAAACAAAGGTTTCCCTATGAAACGACCTGCAGGACCCCAAAACATTTTTTTTCTATAAAATGATCCTCTATGATATGACAAGATGTATCTTATAGTGGTTTGGAATTCGTCAGTTTAGGTATGGTGCCCCAGACCAGACTTGTATCGTCTGCAAGTGTGGCTACACGTCCGCCTCTGAGCAGAAGGTCAGAGACGACTACAGAGCCTGTTGCGAAAACTTTGGGCCTCGTGCTTGGCAGAATTGTCAGCTTGTTTCAATTGCCGGAAGTAGCGTCCACCATCACTACATATCACTACTAGGTTGTTTGGTAGTGGACGGAAAGGCGCATGGGTGCTTCAGAATTCCTGCAAGCACCTCTCTCAGAATGGCAGTGTCCTTTGTGCCCTGCGATCTGTGAAGCTTGCGTTTTGACAGAGACAAGGCGCGCGGTTACAGAATGTCCTCTGCTTCTCAATAGCAGATGCGGCGGCAGCAGCAGCCGATGTGGTACAGACAGGAGCACAAGCGTGTAGCGCAAGACAGTCACGCCTCAAGCACCCAATTGAATTTCTAGCTACTTTGGGCCCTGCCAGGGGAGTCTGGTACTTGGACCACCCCTGGTGTTCCGGAATCAGGAGCCAGGACAAACTGGGGAATCCAGTAATGATGAGGGATCAGAGCGTCCACCACTCCCAAAAAGCGGCCAAGGGCCGCCCCCCCCAAGGGTCTTGTATTGGGATAATGGAAAATAAAATGGAGACTACTATAATACTCGGGTTATATGGGGTTCTATTGGGCTATATAAAGGGTGTATTGTGGTGATTTTGCGATAATGGAAAATAGTATGGAAACTACTAGGGTAGTGCTCAAGCACGAGTGGCGTTACCCTCGGGTTGCAGTTTGCATGCATGTCAGCGACAAGGAAACAATCATACCGTATATACATGTAAAGGCAGCGTGAACATGGAGAGATAGCCATGAGAAGGAACCCAAGATGAACAGCCCCCGAGAAAATACAAGCAATGATTCTGGAGCTACGAGATCATACCAAAACTCCGGAGAACCCACAAAAGGCGGTCAAATGTGGGCGGATAACCGAGTGTGAGGCATCCTGCACTCAACATTCCGAACAAACAGATACTGACTCTTGGAAGCCTTTCAAGTGGGAGGACCCAACACAGCAGAAACTGATCCTTGATGACACCCACCCGAAATTGAACTCGCAGGGTCTGGAATCTCGCGGCTGGCGTCTGGCGTTGGAGAGCACGATCTCCTGAATTTCGCACTCCAGGCCGCTGAGTCAGGAGCCTAGTGGCTCTTCTGTTCAAGCTTGTGGGTCTCACGCTAGGCTCATGCCGGCATTGATGCAGGAACTGGAGAACTGATCCGGGAACTTGATAAGCATGTCTTTGCGAAGGGACAGACAGCAGATATCGCCTCAGGTCCAGACCTTGTCCAGAAAGACTGCAAGGCGTCCGCATATGAGCCGACATGATGCTAGCTTAAGTTCAACGAATCTAGAATTCGCCCTTTGGTCGGCAAGTGACACAGTCCATTGCAATCCGGTCAGACTCGGTGGGCGCAGAATGTACAAGACGTGGAGGCTGAGTGTAAGCAAAAAATGAGCCGAAGCTGTCACGGCATGTCACCTCCTGGCTGGAGCTGAGAAGCTATTTCTGAATGAAGGAGTGAATGAGCGCATGAGTGCAAGAGTGAATGAGTGAGTGAGCGAGTGAATGTTGATGATGACGCTGCTGTCCTTGCCCCTGCTAGCTTCTCAAAGCACATCCACTTGCGGCAATTCTGCTCGAACTTGACGGCCCAAACCCTCAGAATCCGACACAGTCCGACGCAGTGTTCTGAGCTACTAACGCTTTGCCGGTGGCTCTCCAATCACTTGGGCGTCGCCATCCCGACCTCAAACAGGCTCACAATCAAGCCTCAGCGCCAACATGTGGGCCCATGTGCGCCAACAGCGCCAACATGCGCTGGGGCTCTGGGGCTCCCGCTTAGGTTGCGCTTCATGGTGCGCCAAAGTCTAGCTGCAGCCGAGCTATCTCGGCCATGCTGGAATCTAGTCTTTTCTTCTGCGTTGAAAGGTTGAGGCCATCCTGCATCACACATTTAGTGGCCGGACAGACATTCTAAAACATTGCCGTCACTAGCACATCAGGGCGTCTAACAACGACATGGCTTTACTCAAGGTGCCAGGGTGCACCATGTGTAGTGTAGAGCTGCGGAAGCTGTGTGACCCACATACTGGGTTATCAGACACAGGGGTATTGGGGTTATATTGGGGTAATATTAGGGTTACATTGGGGTTATATTGGGATAATGGAAAATAAAATGGAAACTACTATAATGGGATATATTAGGGGGATATAGGGATTATATAGGGGTATAATATTGGGG